TAATTATAATGGTATCTTAAAAATATACTGTGTGATATTAAAGCACATTAAGGAGGAAGAATGTAGGCTCCGCGCCTGTGGCTCAAGTGGCTAAGGCGCCAGCCACATACACCTAAGGTAGCAGGTTCGAATCCAGCCTGGGCCTGCCAAAACAACAATGACGGCTGCAACCAAAAAATAGCCGGGCATTGTGGCGGGTGCCTGTGGTCCCAGCTACTTGGGAGGCGGAGGCAGGAGACTCACTTGAGCCCAGGAGTTTGAGGGTGCTGTGAGCTGGGATGCCACGGCATTCTACCCAGGGGGATAGCTTGAGGCTCTGTTTCAAAAAAAAAAAAAAAAAAAAGGAGGAAGAATGTTGTAATAGAAAAAGCATAGGTGTTAGAGCAGTATTCCTTGACCTAGTGAAGTTTCACTAGCAGCTCAGCCCTCACCTAGTTCAGTTTCACTAGCAGCTCAACCCTCTTAGCCCAACTCAGAAACAAGAACCAGAAATGTAATTTTTCTCAGGCCAAGCAAACCAGCCTACATCTGAACTAATGAGTGAAGCTCTTAATTACTGCTCATTTCAAGTTTTCCAAAAGTACAAGTACCACATCACTTTATCAGAAGTCATTGCCCCTGTGCCTTTTTTCATCCAGCAAAATCAAGCTTTTAAAGATAAGATGATGATGGCCTCGTGTCATGGCTCATGCCTATAATTTTAGCACTTTGGGAAGCTGAGGCAGGAGGATCCTTTAAGGCAAAGAGCTTGAGACCTCTACTATAAAATAGAAAAATTAGCCAGGCATAGTGGTATGTGCCTTTGTTCCTACCTGCTCCACCTTCTTGGGAGGCTGAGGCAGGAGGATCACTTGAGCCCTGGAGTTTGAGGTTATATGAGCTCTAATAATAACCACTGCACTCTAGTCAATGTGACAGAGCAAGACTGTCTCAAAAAAAAAGAAAAAAATGCAGCTAACATAATAATAATCAGCTGTTGTTTTTCAGGGCTTATTTATCTGGTTATGGATTGTTTATTTTTTTTTTATGGGGTCTTGCTCTTGTTCAGCCTGGTCTTGAACTCCTGAGTTCAAGCAATCCCTGAACTATTTATTTAGATCATTAACTTCTTGCTGTACAATAGCAAAAACAAAAAAGAAATGACTTCTGCAAAGACAGAATCATCTTTGTGTTCCCTGTAGTAGCTAGCACTTAGTATGACTAAATAAAAATCCATTTTATCACTTTTCAGTATCTCTTTTTAAAGTCTTAGGTAATATCAAAGGTAAAAATGAGACTGAGCTTTGTATGAGCTTTGACTGAGCAGTGTATTATGTATTACACTGTCACTATCCCTAGCCTGTTCACAATTGAGCTTTGACTATGACAGAGAAATTAAATGGAACACTTTGAATAGTGTTGAATAAAAACATAGATCAATTCTTATTCAGGCTGTTGTCAAGTATGACCTTAACTAATAGAAGAATAAAATTAAATCCAACATAATTAAATGTATTTTACATGTCTGTGGGAGAACAAAAGAATAAAAGGAGAGATGATTCCAGATTACAAGGAACTTACAAACTTGTTCAATCAGACTTTATTTTGTATGTTAACAATTTTAGAGAGGTTGGATGTGGTGCTTCACACCTGTCATCCTAACACTTTGGGGGGCACTGGAGTGGGAGAATTGTTTGAGCTTAGGAGTTAGAGACAAGCCTGAGCCAGAAACCCCACCTCTACTAAATGTCGGGCACCTGTAGTCCCAGCTATTTGGGAGGCTGAGGCAGGAGGAACTCTTGAGTCCAAGAGTTTGAGGTTGCTGTGAGGTAGGCTGACACCACGGCACGGTAGCCTGGGCAACAGTGAGACTTCAGAGAAACCTGAAAAGGGAGCAAAAAGGGGAAGGTAGAGAACAATATGTATATATAGTATCCTACCATTTATATATTTTTTAAAGTACACACACATATATATTGGGCTATGCATAGACTGTCTGTGGAAAGGGGGTATAGAGGACTGGAAGATGAGGCAATAGAGGAATAATTTTCACTGTGTAGTATAGCCTTTAGTACTATTTCACTTTTATTTTCTTCCTTTTTTTTTTTTCATTGACCCCATTCTTCTGCAGAACACTTTTAGGAGAAAAAGCAAAATTATCCTTTTTAATTTCAAGTTTAAACTTCTAAGCTGATTTATTTTTAAAGTGGTTATTTGTAATATACTATAACGATAATCACACATTGATCTGGTGGGAAAAGGACTCAAACTCAGGACTGTGAAATTTTTTTTTTTTTTTTTTATTGAATGGTAACTAGGACTGTGAAATTTTATTTCAACTTGTGCACTAACTAGCTGTGTGATTTTAGGCAGTCATTTATGATTTTTGTTAGGTTTTTTTGGGTGGGTAGCTGGAGAGGATGGGACTACATGGCCTTCAAGCCACATTAGATTGTAAACAATCAAAATATTCATCAGTAGGAAACAGTTTAAATTAATTATGATACATCCACTAAATGTAATACTATGTGTTCATAAAAATGAATAAGAAAACTGGCTTGGTGCCTGTAATTCAGTGGTTAGGGTACCAGCCATGTACACCGGGGCTGGCGGGTTTGAACCCAGCCTGGGCCTGCTAAAAAACAGTGATAACTACAACAAAAAAATAGCCAGGCATTGTGGCAGGCGCCTCCCAACTACTTGGGAGGCTGAGGCAAGAGAATGGCTTAAGCCCAAGAGTTTGAGTTTGCTGTGAGCTATGACACCACAGCACTCTACCGAGGGTGACATAGTGAGACTGTCTCAAAAAAGAAAAAAAAAAGGAAGGAATAAGAAAACTCTTTAAATCCCAGAATGGGAAGCTCTCCAAGATATATGTTAAGTGAAAAAAGCAAGGTGCTGCACAGTATATAAAGAAACACTGGGAATATATAAACTCTATATATAGTATATATGATATAGATAATGAACATATACATATTATATGTGATATATGTTCATCACATATAAATACATAAATGAAGGGATGGACAAGAAACTAATAGCATTTAACATGGGTTATAGGAAGATTTCACTGTGTGCCATTTTGTGCTTTTTTTTTTTTTTTTTTTTTGAGTCTCACTTTGCCACTTGGGCTAAAGTAAAGTGGTCTCAATCATACCTCACTGCAACCTCCAACTCCTGGGCTCAAGTGATTCTCCATCCCTAGCCACCCAAGTAGATGGGACCACAGGCAGGTGCCACCAACGTGGCTAATTTTTTCTAATTTTTTTTGTAGAGATGGGGTCTCAAGGTCTGCTCTTGCTCTTGCTCTTGCTCAAGCTGATCTCGAACTCCTGACCTCAAGCAGTCCTCCTGACTCAGCCTCCCAGAGTGCAGGGAGTACAAGTGTGAGTCATATTGCTGGGCCTGCTTTTTGAATTTCATAATGTGGAAATATATAATCAAAGAATTACATTTTATATATTTATCCAAAAACATTTATTTTAAAACTTGGAAAAAATAAATCAGAGGGCTCGGCGCCTATAGCTCAACCGGCTAAGGCACCAGCCACGTACACCTAAGGTGGCGGGTTCGAATCCCCAGCCCAGACCCGCCAAACAACAATGACGGCTGCAACCAAAAGATAGCC